TCTCCAAAGTTACCAATAATCTCCCGTTTGCTAAATCAAATGGCCTTATCTTCATCCTTATTCTTGATCTCTCTGCCGCCTTTGACACTATTGATCACACTCCCCTCTTTGATACTCTCCTCTCTCTAGGTTTTTAAGACAACTCTCTCACTCCTGCTTCTTCTCCTACCTGTCTGACTGCTCCAGATCACACCCTCTAACTATAGGTGTGCCTTAGGGTTCTGTCCTGGCCTTCTTCTCTTCTTCCTCTATACTACTTCATTTGGTGGTCTCATCAGCTCCTATGGGTTTAATTAACATCTCTGTGCTTATAATTCTCAATTCTCAAATTCTCAAATCTACCCCAACCTCTCTGCTGACCTCCATTTCTACATTCCAACTACCTTTCAGACATCTCAAACTGGATGTCCAATAAACATCTTAAACTCACTACGTACAAATACAACTCATTATCTTTCCCCCTAAACCCTCCCCTATTTCTGTTGAGGCCAGTGCCTCAGGCTAACAACCTAGGAGTCATCCTGGACTCCTCACAATCTCCCACTTTCCATATCCAGTCTTTTGCCAAGGCCTTTCATTTCACCTCTGCAACATCTCTCAAATATTCCCCCTTCTCTCCTCTGACAATGCAGGCCCTCATCACCTCATTCCTTGATTATTGCAATACTCTGATGATGGGTCTGCCTTCCTCAAGTCTCTCCCCACTCCAATCCATCCTCCATTCAGCCACTAAATTGATTTTCTTAAAGTAAATTCTGACTGTCACCTCCCTACCCAAACTCCAGTGGCTCTCTATTGCCTCCAGGACCAAACACAGAATGTTCTGTTTGGCATTCAAAGCCCTTCATAGCCTAGCCCCCTCCTACCTTTCCAGTCTTCTTATACTTTGCTCCCCAGTTCTTCAATCCGGTGACACTGACCTATTGGCTTGTTCCATGAACAAGACACTGCATGCTCCAAGGCATTTTCTTTGTCTGTCCTCCATGTCTCAGCCCTCTCCCTCCTCTGCTCTAACTACTGACCTCCTTGGCTTCCTTTAAGTCCCAACTCAAATCCCACCTTTTACAGGAAGCCTTTCTCAACCTCTCCTAATTCCAGTGCCTTCCCTCTGTTAATTATTTCTTGTTTATCCTGTATGTAGCTTGCTTTATCTATATTTATTTACATGTTGTCTTCCCCATTAGTTTGTAAACTCCTTGGGAGCATGGACTATCTTTTGCCTCTTTTTGAATCCCCAACTTAGCACCATGCCTGGCATATAGTATGTACTTAATAAAGGTTTGTTGGATTGATTGATGAGGTATAAAACCTGACCCAAGCAACAAACTTTCTGAAAATCAGAATGTTCAAATAGAAGATAATGACTCCATGAGAAAAGAAGAAATATTTTTAAAGTCAAAAGACTGAAAAAAAATCAAGGAAATGTCAAGTATCTCATGGCAAAAACAGATAGAGGAGAAAGAAATTAAAACTCTTTGGATGACCTGAAAGCCATGACCAAAATAAAAAAAGACTAGCTGTATTTCCAGAAATAATAAAAGAAAACTACCCTGATCTTGAACTTCCAGGTCAAAAACAAACAAACAAAAAACAAATATTGCAAACAGTCACAAAGGGAGAATTCTAGTACTGAGCAGTCAGTCAGAATCAGTCAATCAATAAAGGAATGGAGATCTTGAAATATGACATTCCATAAGACCAAAGTAATAAAAAAAAAGACTTACAACCAAAAATAACTTACCCAGCAAAATTGAATGCAGTTCTATAGGGGGGAAATGGATTTTTAAAGAAATAGAAGGCTTTCTAGCATTCCTGATGAAAAAATCAGAACTGCATAGAAACTTTACAATACAAACACAGCAGTCAAGAAAAACATAAAAAGGTTGTGTGATTCCTCTTCTCCTTTGAACATGTCATGGTTTATTCATCTTACGAGGAGCTTCCTCAGAAGATATTAATGAACAGTCAACCTGCTTTAAGAAATAACTGAGACCCAAAACTTAAAAATGGGCCACCCACATAAATTCTGTTGGAGAACAATGGATGGGGAGCTTCATACCAACAAAATTAATCACAGAATAATTTTATGGCTGCCCACTACCCAATCACTGACAGGGCATTCTCAAGCACCCAACAGACTTTTTGAAGACATTTCATACACATGCACTCTGTCTAAGGGAAACAATACAGAGTACAATGTGCTCAGGAATTAAAGCACATTAAAAAAAAATTGGTGCAAAATTGCATACCATTTCCCACCTCCATGTTTTTGTACAGGCTGCATGCCTGGAATGCTCTCTGACTCTTGGAACCCCTAGAAGAGTTTGTGTAAGGCCTACCTCGTGTCACCTTCTGGAAGAGAATTTTCCCAATTTCCATAATTGTTAGTGCTCCTCTGCCTTCCCAAGTTAGTTTGTATTATTTTCAGTGCCTCCCCTATAATTATTTCATATTTTTTAGTACATCTTTTGTATCTGCTTATTTGTGTGCATGTTTTTCCCTGACAAATATTAGTTCTTTGATAGATGTTTATTGAATAGTTAGATAGGTAGGTTGCTATAGATATAGATATAAAATATTCATTTACTTCTCTGTATACATGTTATTTTCCACAATGGAATAAAAATTTCTTGAGGACAGGGACTATTTTATTTTTGTCTTTGTATCACTAGAGACTAGCACAGTGTCTAACACATAAGTACATGTGGTTGTGGTTTGCCTCTCGAAAAGGACCATGACATCAAGTAGATAATGACATGACTTACAGTTGACTTTGATTTGAGTGAAGGAGGGCTGCAAAAAGTCACCAGCCTCACAGAAGTACATATACGTGTATTATATACATATATATACATACACATTGTTATTGTTGTTCGGTCATTTCAGTCCTGTCTGACTCTTCATGACCCTACTTGAGGTTTTCTTGGCAGAGATACTGGAGTGGTTTGCCATTTCCTTCTCCAGCTCATTGTACAGATGAGGAAACTGAGGCAAACAGTGTTAAATGATTTGCCCAGGGTCACACAAGTGGTAAGTGTCTGAGGCCAGATTTAATTCAGAAAGATGAGATGAGAGACTTCCAGGCCCAAACCTCTATCTATTGTACCAGCTAGCTGTCCCACTCTGACATATAATATATATGTATATGTATGTGTGTGGGTATAGTATGTATCTGTGTACATGTTGTTCATGTCCCAGTAGAATATAAGATTCTTGAGGACAAGGGCTGTTTCATTTTGTCTTTATGTCCTCAGCACCTAGCACAGTGCCTGACATATAATAAATGCTTAATAAATGTTTGGTTTTTTGGGGGGGAAAAAAAGAATGTAGCTGCTTGAGGATAAGAACTCTCTTTTTTGCTTGTATTTATATTCCAAGCTTTTAGCATAGTTCCTGGCACACAGTAAGCACTTAATAAATGCATGTTGATTTGTTGACACTATGGTGTCATCTTTAAAAGTCCATCTTCCTGTTAAATAAACCAGAGAATGCCAAAGGCACATACATGGCTCTTTTAAAAGAACATTATTTCCCAATAAGAAGATAAAAATGAGCTAACTTTGAAAATATTTATTATTTTGTAGAGCTATACAGCAACAGTTGTCCGAGAGCTGAGAACCGACCACTCTTAAGTATAGAAATGCCCATCACAGAAGGCTGGCCACCAGATAATGGATTATTTGGGCCACAGATGATATTGTCTGCTAATGGGGTTGAGGATTCATGACTGTTTTGTGGACTGTACCAGAATGTTAAATACTAGAGATAGTCAAGCTCCATGATGGCAGGGACTATGTTTTTACTCTTCTTTGTATCTCCAACTTAGTACAATGTTTGACATGTTTTTGTTATTGAGTCATTTTAGTTGTCTTGGCTCTTTGTGACTCCATTTGGGGTTTTATTGGGGTAGTTTGCCATTTCTTTATCCAGCTCCTTTTACAGATGAGGAAACTGAGGCAAACAGGGTCAAGTGACTTGCCCAGGGTCACACAAGTAAGTGTCCAAGGTCTTATTTGAACTCAGGTCCTCTTGATTCCAGGCCCACACTCTATCTACTGCACCATCTAGCTGCCCCACCTCACAAAGTAATGAGTTGCAATTTCCCTATGAACTTTAAATATTATACAAATGGTAATATTAAATGATAAAAGCATAGATTTCCTTTGCCTGAACTCTATGATCAAATATTACATCATCTTTATCTCATTGTATGTAAGGGGAATTTTAGCGCGCATGTAAGGTAGATTTTAATGTGTATAAGGTGGATTTTTGTTATTCTTTTTTAGATAATAATTCCCAGGTTGGGAATTAGTTGGAATCTTCCAAAATAACTTTTTTTAAAATAAAACTAAAGGGATCACAAAGTCACTTCACACTTTTTGAATTTTCATTTAAACCACACAATCATAGTTCTAGAAGTAGAAGCAATCTTAGGGATCATCATTCTAGTCTAATCCTCTCATTTTACAGAGAAAAGGAGGTTCAGTGATTTGCCCAAGGTCACACTGTTAGTAAGTGGCAGGCTTGTGGTAATAGGCATTTTCCCAAACTCCCTTTTGAACTAAAATCTCTGTGTGTGTGTGTGTGTGTGTGTGTGTGTGTGTGTGTGTGTATGTGTGTGTGTAGTGCTCCTCTCTATTTATATCTTGGTGGATGATTATTATTTTCATCTGCCTCAGCCATTTCAATTACCAAAGTTATCACATTATATTTCCACGAATACTAGATTTGTCTTACTTTGTCTACTTCACTTGTGCAATGGATTAATCCCCACAACACACATACACGCAGACACACACACACACACTCACATACACACACAGATTTTAGATCAAAAAGGAGTTTGGGAAAATGCCTATTCGCACAAACCTGCCACTTACTAACAGTGTGGCCTTGGGCAAATCACCAAACCTCCTTTTCCCTGTAAAGTGAGAGGATTGGACTGGACACAACATTAGCAGTAACTTCTTTTTAAAGGTAGAGCAAGATGAAGACATTACCTCTCTGCAGTGTGATCACGAGCCTCCAAAAGCACAGCCCGAGAAGAACAGAAGTTATGAGTATACAAATGATCACCACCACTTGTCTAAGGTTGCAGCTGCGGCAGGAAGACATCTTGTTGTCAGAGCAGAGGTCCACACCTGGGGGAGTTTTTTTCAAAACACCGTCTGATTCATTCCTACTTTCCCTCTTGAACAGAGTTTAAATTTTGCAAATTCCATTCTAAAATACAAAGACTGAAAGGTACAATTAAGAGGTCAGCAAGCTTCCCAGGAGTCTTCTTCAGCGGTATAAATATTCCTCCTCTTATACACAATCTGTAGCCCTCATTTTACCAATATTCCCAGGTTTAATCAGAGTACAAGAGCTAAGAAGACCTGAACTAGTTTCAGTTTCTCATACCCTAACTGAGAACGGAATTATGGACGTTGAGGAAGACGTGATGGGATTGGACTAGGAAAAGTAAGGACAGGGAGGGAGCTTGGGGTCATAAAGAAAGGAGGGAACTACCTGGAAGGCCAAAGGGGAAATGGTCAGAGTTCTAAATAAAGTCGAGGGAGGAACCAGAAGGGAAAAAAAGAAGGAAATGTAAAAAGACAAATCAGCATGGAGAATTATATAAGGCTAAGCCAGTCCAGTCTTGCTTTCTGGTCTTTCAAGTAAGATGAATTTAACTGAAATAGACTGGCAGGTTCCAAAGGTGCCAAAATAAATGTTTTTAGCAAACAAAGAAAAAAAAGGCAAACTTGTTAATAAAAATCTAACCATTATAATCTGTGTAGCCCAAATGAATTCAATGTGGGGGAACTCTCTCTAATAATAATATCTATGGTTTGTTTGGACTCCACTCAGGGTTTCCCAGGGCAATAAAAATCTGGCGTCTCTCATACAGGACCTCTTCCCCACCCCCAACTTCCAGGCCTCAAAGAACATAAAAGGGACAGTTATAGCCATACCCCATCCCCCACTCCCTCTTGTGAGCTCTATTTCCCTTCTTTCCAAGGAGTTCAGTTATGGTCTTAAGAAAAAACCCCAGAGCAAATAATTTCAGGCAATAATCTGAATAAGTGTCTGAGGAATCTAACATATAAAAAATATATAGTCCTGTGTTATAAAATAATAATACCTGATATTTCTAAAATATTGTAAGGTTTATAGAACACTTTACCTATGGTTTCACATGGTTGGGGTCCTGTCATTGAATTCAAAGAATAATTAAGGTGTAGCCTGGGCCCCTGACTTGTGGTCATGCCATTGAAAGTGTGAAACTCTTTCCCATAGAAAGAGATCAGGATGTGCTGTCTCTGAACTCTTGAATGATCAAGATCAAATGTTTCTTTTCAAGCCCATAGCCTTGGAACAATGGGCCAGAAAGTGATAATCCAACTGAGCCTCTGGACCCAGATAGAAATGCCCTAACAATCAGTTTCAATTATGCTTCATTGCCTGGGTCTTGGAAAAGCTTCAGCTAGGCCAATGGTCTCCAAATCTCGTATCTCATCAATTAACAAAAAAATTTTTAGGGCATAGCCCCAGTGGGTATATATATATATATATATATATATATGTATGTATGTATGTATATGTATATATGTGTGTATATGTATGTATATATGTATATATACATATATACATACATATATACTTGTTTATTACTTATTTACATGCACTATTATACTAATAATTGTGGACATTATAAAACATAAAAAGAAATTAAACAAAGGATGAGTGTTTTGCAGGAGCTCAGCTCCTGGCAGGTTCACATTAGATTTGGCCAAACCAAAGAAAGACCATGGAGCAACAGACAGGGGATTCATGCCAGTTTATTACTCCAAGCCACACCCAACAAGGAGAAGTGAGGAAAGACACCCATATTCCTTAGCCAGTTGCCCACTTGATTTATAGGTAACAGACAAAGAAGGCTTTTTGCCAAGGGGAAGCTTTGTAAGTTTACATTAACTTTAGCAATATAATGTTGATTCAGCATGGCACACATCCAGTACATATTTATCACTTAAAGCACAAATGCTCATATTTTGCAAGGTTATATACAATCATGTGCAAACATAGTAAAAACCGTTTATAGGCTAGGAGCCTGGGAATTACTATCTAAAAAAGAATAACAACAATCACCCTTACACACACTAAAATCTACCTTACATACACTGCAATTGAACTTACATACAATGAGATGAAGATGATGCAATATTTGATCATAGAGTTTGTTGAGTAGGTAATATGTTCAGACCCACCCTTTAGGAAAATCACTTTGCCAGCTATGTGAAGGAGGATTGGAAAGGGGAGATGCTTGAGGGAGGGGGACCAAATAGGAGTCTCGTGCAATAGTCAAGGTCAGGCAATGGTTAAAGTGGGGGTGTCTAGTAGAGATGTAGTGGCTCCTTAGCCAGTTGGTCACAGGAGGACAGGATAACAGCTCTAGACATGGAAGCAACCCCTTCATTTTACAGGCAGAGCTGGAATTCAAACAGAGGTCCTCTGAATTCTCATTCATTTCATGATACCCCCTGTTTCTCATTACAGTGGAAGAAAGAGTGATCAACTTGGAGTACTGAATTTGTAACTATAGGTCCTGAGTTAAGATTTTACCACTTGTGTCATCTTGGTCAAGTCCCAATCTCTCTGGGCCTCAATTTCCTCCTCTATAAAATGGGAGGTGAGAACTAGATCCTTTGTTTAGGTGTTAAAGGAATGTCAGTTGCCACTGACCTAAAGTTAGAAGCAGAAAAGGGCAACGTGGAGGGATTGGCAGGATGTTTGTGCATTGTGCAGTCATTTCAGTCATGTTCGACTCTTTGTGACCCCATTTGGGGTTTTCTTGGCAAACATACTGGAGTGGTTTGCCATTTCCTTCTCCAGCTTCTTTGCAGATGAGGAAACTGAGGCAAACAGGGTTAAGTGACTTGACCAGGATTACATAGCTAGTGTCTGAGGCCATATTTGAACTCAGGAAGATGAATCTTCCTGATTCCAGGCCTAGCACTCTTATCTGCTGCCCCGTAATATGGATGATATGTTCATGATATGGAGATAAATTAGCTATACTCAGAAAAATGGCCTTAAACCAATGGTCAAGGGATGATGAACAGTGAGTTTCCTCTAGTCCAGCATTTGAACTTTAATGATGCTGTCACTGTTGCCCCAGATGGGTGGTTGGTGGTAATGTCATCATCAGAGGCAGGTAAGGATGAAGCTAAGGAATTGATGAGGTGTTAGGTGTTACAATGTGGAGATGGTTTCATGGTATTCAGATAGGTTAGGAGTAACTGCACAGTTGTGGCAGGATGTTCCAGCAAGGGGGAGGGCATAGGTATCTTTGTACAGCAAGGATGAGGCTATCACTGGGTAAGTCTGGCCTGGTAGATAAGGAAAGGCATTTGCTTAGCCTTAGAGAAGTACTCTCATCCCACTATCCAGGGCAATCTGGACGTGATATCAGTACCAACTTGGCATAGTAACAGAAAATTTGGGGGCCAAGACTGCTACTGAAAAAAGTAACTGCGGCAGGGAGGCCAGAACCAAGATGGCAGAGAGAAGCCAGGAAATGCCTAAGCTCTTCCCAGTTTCCCTTGGAAACAACATTAAATCAAGCCTCTAAAAGATTCTGAAGCAACAGAATCCACAAAAAGACAGAGTGAAACAATTTTCCAGCCCAAGATAACTTGGAAGAATTTCAGGAAAGGTCTGTCTCACTTGGGTTAAAGGGGAGTATGGCCCAGCACAAGCCAAGCCAGTAGGATACTCTTAGCCACAGCACAGATCAGCAACCAAGGCCACACAGTTCTGGCTCAGCAGGCCAGCTGTAAGGTCTCCAGCCCCATGCAGCAGGCAAATTCCAGCCCCCAAACCCAAGGCAAAACAGACTTGACTAGGCTGGACCACCCTGTCGCAGTGGGCAAGCCATCAGCCCCAGAGGCCCCAGAGCAGAAAGCCAGTGATCAGCCCCCGGCCCCCAGTGAAAGAAGCTTGAGATAGTGCACCCTGTACCCCGGAAATAGAGCCAACTTTTAAAAACAAGCAAAAACCAAAAAAGAGCCCTGACCATAGAAAGCTACTATGGTAACAGAGAAGATCAAAACATAGACTCAGAAGAGGACAACAATGTCACAGTGCCTACATGCAAAATCTCAAAAATGAATTAGTCTCAAGCCCAAAAAAAAACCCTTCTAGGAAGAGCTCAAAAAGGATTTTAAAAATCAAGTAAGAGAGGCAGAAGAAAAATTGGAAAAACAAAATGAGTTATGCAAGAGAATTTTGAAAAAGGAATCAACAACTTGGAAAAGGAAGCACAAAAAGTGACTGAAGAAAACAACTCCTTAAAAAGTAGAATTGGAATAAACCCATATAAATCATTGTTATTTCTATATGTTACTAACAAAACCCAGCAGCATGAGATATAAAGAGAAATTCCATTTAAAGTAATTGTAGACAACATAAAATATTTGGGAGTCTACTTGCCAAGACAAACCCAAGAACTATATGAACACAATTACAAAACATTTTTCACACAAATAAAGTCAGATATAAATAATTGGAAAAATATCAGGTACTCATGGGTAGGCTGGGCTAATATAATAAAAAATGACAATTCTACCTATATTAATTTGCTTATTCAGTAGCATAGCAATCAAACTACCAAAAATCATTTTATAGAGCTAGAAAAATAATAACAAAATTCACCTGGAAGAACAAAAGTTCCAGAATATCAAGGGAATTAATGAAAAGAAATGCAAGGGAAGGTGGCCTAGCCATACCAGAACTTAAATTATATTATGAAGCATCAATCATCAAAACAATTTGGTACTAAGGAAAAGAGTGGTGGATCAGTGGAATAGGTTAGGTGTGCAACAGACAGTAATCAATGACTATAGTAATCTATTATTTGATCTGGACCCCAGAAAGGAAAAACCCTGGACTTTGTCACATGGCCAAATCTCTGGTTTTTCCCTGGGGCTATATATAATCCCATCAACTGGTCTTTCATTATGGCTACACCCAATCTCCCAATTCTGTAACCCTTAACCTAGCCTAGTCCTCCATTGTCTTACCTCCCTATGGCCCCCAGCCATTTCCCACCCTTAATCCTAGCTAGGCTCCATTCTCCCTTTGCCATATGGTCCAGGTCACAGGAGTTCTGTTCACTCCAGTTTACCGGCCACTCCTATCCAGATCTTCCTTAGACCCCTCCTCCAGTCATCCCAAACTACTTGGCCACTCCTAGATCCCTCCCACAGTCTTTCTGTATATAAGGTCCATCCTGTCTCCATTAAGGTGCTTAGATTCTTACAATCTAGCCATTGCTCAGATTCTTATAATCTAGCCATTGCTTAGATTCTTAAAATCTAGCCAATAGCTCACTAACATTCAGACTCCCTAAGAGTCTGCTCAATATGGCAAATGTTCTAATAAACCTTGTCTTTGGCTGAAAAAAAAAAGATAAGGAATCTATGGTCATGCTGACATCTCTGTGTACCAACTGGCC